ACCCCAGTCATCACAGCTGCATGGAGTACTGAGCTGGAAAGGGAGTTGGGGGTCCCAGCAACTGGCCCTGAGACATGCATTTTGGCTCTCGGGCTCTCCAGACAGCCACCTTCAAAGCAGAGATGCTTTGAACTTGTTGCAGAGCTCTGGTGTTTCCAGGAAGGCATCAGTGACCTCAGCAAAGCCCATGCGTAACCTGTACAACGGGGTTGCAATGTGGGTGGCAGGGCTCAGAGCGGCGGGTAGGAGAGCCCAGCCCAGCTCCGGCTGGTGAGGTCTTTGCTTCCAGTCATGTCTCAAGTGTGAGGGGATGACAGGGTGGTGCTTCCACTGCCAGCAAGTTCCCTGACATGAAACCTCATGTGGTTAGTAAAAATCCCCCGCCTGCTAGTCTCTCTCTACCAGCCTTTGCACCCGGGGGCAGAGTTTCAGTTTGACTCAACTCTGGTTGAGGCCACTGAAGATTTCCAGGTCAGAGCCGTACCCCGGTGCTGTGGGTGAAAGATGTGCCGGTGGCCACGGGAGCTCAGCAGTGGAGGAGCCCTGCTTGCCAGCACCAGCAAGTTGCAGATGGCAGCTCCATTTACAAACCACACATGGCATCGGAGACCAGAGCCCTGTGTGAACCCAGGCCTGGCAAGACAGGCCATTGTGGGCTGGCATTTCTTTCCCAGCCCCATGCAAAGCATGAAACCTGGTGCAGATGAACAGCAACTGGACATGCCTTCTTTGCACCCCAGCGTGGCAGCAGGAAAGCACTGCGTGAGGCATGTCGGAGTCAGGGGTGCCAGCAACACTGTTCAGCTTGCCCCTGCTCTACGTCAGCTATCGCTTCCTCTCCTGGGCCATATCTGCTGGGAGCAGCTATCCACACCCTGCATGAACTCCCTCCAAAACCCGACCTTGGAGCAGCATCTGCAGGGAACACACGGACCTCGCAAGGAGGCATCTCACCATATCGCTGGCTAGTGGCTGGTCAGGGCTTCTTATCAGTAGAGTGGCACAGCAGGGCCCAGAGGGAAGGGGGTGCACGGTGCCCCCCTGGCAGGCCGGAGATTGTGGCATGCCATTACCAAGAAAGCTGGGTGAGCCCTGGCACAGGGGGCTGCACTTTGCTTTCACAGCAGTGCCAACCTGGGGGCTGGCATAACCATCTGCGGCATGGCCCTGGAGATGCCCCAGATCAGTAGTTTTGGAGCTGTGTTCTCCATGCAGTCATTGCTTCCCCGTGCCAGCTCTGCACTCAGGACGGGGAGGGGGAGACAACAGGGTCCCTGGCACTGGGCTCCTGGCTGGGCAGATCTCCCTGGCGGGGCATGTGCTTGTGTCGAAACTGCTTGCGTGATGTGTTGGTGTCCTTAAAACAACCAGAGGAGCCTCCGGGGCTGTGATGAGGGGATGTCTGCTGCCCGCTGTGTCTCAAGGACTGCCCCACCGCCTGGCTGCAGGCAGGGCTGGGCCCCAGCACCTGGCTGGGTGTGCTTCAGGCTGCTCCACCCCAGGCTAAGACCATCTCATGGTCCCCCATGTCTTCACTGAGCTCCACTGGCATCCTGACCCTATGATGGCAGGGGCAGGGAAGGTTTCACCTCTTCCCAAATTCCCCCTGGCAGGGTAGCGGGAGCTGGTCTGGGCATGGGGAGAGAGCAGCGCAAGCAGTGGCCTGGGATGGGCTGAGAGGAGCCATAATCCACCCTGACCCAGCCAGTTCAAGGCCTGCGGGGAAAGTTTGGTGGTTGCAGGTGACATCTGGCCCAGGGGATACCAGGGGCTGGCCCAGCCAGGCAGGGCTGTCCCCAGAGAGACAAGCCCTGTCCAGCAATTCCTTGATTTCACGCCTATTGGGAAGCTCCTTGATTTTGGAGTGTGGACACAGGGTCCCTTGGCTATTAGCTTTCCCAGCTGTTAATGAGTGCTGGATATGACCTGACATTTGCATCAGTGTGACCGAGCCCAAACGCTGGCCGTGGACGACACCCCGGGTGTGTGATTTGGAGAAGAGGCCCTGGCTCAGGAGCCGGGCTGCTGGAAAGGGGATGCATCGTCCTCTCGTTAGTGCTTGTCTCGACTAGCTCCTACAGCCCTCTGGCAGCTTCCCTGCTGGGGAGGACGGAGGTCAGGGGAGTCCTAGGGGTCAAATGCAAGGCCAAGAGACTGGAGGGTTTCCTCTGGGGCCAGGCCCTTAGCGGGTGGCATCTAGTGTCATTCCCTCACCCCCCCCAATCATTGCACCAGCAGCCTGCACAGTCCCAGTGCAAAGCTCTCTGCAGCCTGTGGGAGTCTTTGATCTGCCCCCCCCAGCTCAGCTGCAAACCCTGCCCTTGTCTGGCATGGCCGGAGGGTGTGGGAGCAGGCCTGGGGGAGCGGAGGCAGGCTGGACATGCAGTTACGGCACTTCTCTGTACATCTTTTAAGTCACCTCCCTGGCTCCCCTCCTCCCATCCTGTGCTGCACAATAGCAAGGGAGTGGGGCATCCGGCTCCTGTGGTCCTAGGCACCATGGGGCTGGAGCCAGGCTCCAGGGGGCCTGGGGGTTGTTTAGCCTGGGTTTTTAATGCCGTCTGGGCTGAACGGCTCATGCTGGACATTTGTGGGCCCTTTGGCTTCGAATGGACAGGCTCGGCAGCACCCGGTCCCTGTTACAGACCCATCCAGCTAACACCCACCTTCCTTGCCACGGCACAGAGCTCCCACTAGCAGCACCGGGAGCCCAGGCCTGGCCTGCGTGTTTGCAGAGGTGAGGCGCAGGGCACCGAGTGCAATATCCCTGCCGTGCCTTCCCTTCCAGGCTCATCTCCGGCATCTGCGGGGCTCAGGAAGGCCTCCCAGGGACTGGAGCCTTGTGCTGGCCAGGCACGCCAGGGGAATGTCACCTCATGTGAACCAGAGCCCGCAGCGCTGCGGAGGGAGTGGGGAGGGATCTGCAGTGTGGGGCAGCAGCCCTGAACCAGCTAAGGTTGGTCTCAGCTGCAGGGAGGCTGGGGCTTAACCTCGGGAGCCCATTCCCAGGTCCCCGGGGGCTCCGCCAGCCTGTGCAGCCTTTGCACTATTCCTGCTTCCAGCGACTTGCAGGGCAGCCGTGCCCCCAGGCAGCTGACCCCTTCCTCAGCCCTGGCGCTGGTCTTTTTTTATGTCTGTTGGTCCAAGGCTGCTTTGGGGAAGTTGAAGCTAAGCTGGGTTAGGGGGGCAAGGCTAAGCGGCAGGAGGAAGGGAGGCAGCACACTGGCTGGAGCAGGGGAAGGGTGAGGTGAGTGCTAAGACACCTGCTTCAGGGCTTAGCCTCTGAAATGCTGGGCAGACCCTCAGGAAGTCTTCCTGGAAATGCCTGCGTCTCCAGAGACAGTCTGGGGGTTGCATCTCAGGCAACCCCCTTTGGAGGACTGGGGTTTTGGGACAGGCTCCTTGACCTTGCCTCGGCTCAGCCACATCCGCACGGGACGTGGAGCCCCAGTCAGACCGGTCCGTCTCTCCTGGCACTCCCTGGCCTGGGTGCGGGGTGGCTAGAAGGCAGCGTGGCCTGGGAGGATTGATGGGACTCTCCAAGAAAGAGGCAGGGCTGGATGGATCACAACCAGAGGTCACATCTACTCCAACCCCCTGCCTGAGGCATGATCAGCCCTGTGCAAACCAGCCCGGACAAATCCACCATTTAACCTCTTTGTAAAACGACCATCAACCCTCACACAAGGCATCACACCCGAACCTGCCACAGGGAAAGCAGAGGTACCATGGCAGCCAACGTCCTGCTGCAGCAGGTTGTTAATAGGGGCATGAGGGCACGTCCCTGGCCCACCCAGGCCTGGTGAAGTCCTGTCTGGGTCTCTGCCTTTCTCCACTAGCTGGTCCCTTGCTAAGGAAGGCACGTAGCTTGCTCTGGCTCGTGACAACTTTTATTATATCACCTCCAGGCTGGAGCTGACCTGCTGCCTGCTGTGACTCAGCCCTGGCCGGGAGCAAGGAGTGCTGCACCTGGGCAGCTCTGGGCACTGTCGTGCTAGCAAAGGTCTCCTGCAGCTCCACAGGTCTCGCAGCTGGCAGGAACGCTGCAAGTCCCCTCTTACCCTGCCCAGCTCCATGCTGGTGGGTCCCTGCAGCCAAGCTGTCTCCCATACCCGGGGCAGAAGGTGTTGCCTCCTTTATGCATCCAGGAGATCAGACCTGGGGCGCAGAGCAGATGGCAGCACTGAGAAGGGAGCAGGGCTGGGCATGGCAAGCAGAGGATGCCTCTCCCATGCCCTGGGCTCTGTGCTCTGGCAGTTTCCTGCTCACCTGGAGCAGGCTGGGCTGGGCTGGGCAGGGCTGTAGCTGCTTCCCCGGGGCCAGAGCAGCTTGGATGAGGGTGGACCCTTCCTCTCCCCTGCGTCCTGCCCTGCTTGGCACACCCATGCTTGGGCACATTCTCTGCGAGAAATGCCCTGTTCATCTCAGTGAGTGCAAACTTTCCTCCAGGCCATTGACTGCCCCCCCCTACATGGGGCTCTTGGCATTGCTTTGCATTGTAGGTGAGCCCAGCCCTGAGTTTCAGCCCCCTCAAATCCCTCAAACAAACATCAGGAAAGTTGCAAGGCTTCATTGTAACAGGGAAAGAGACATGGAAAGTTTTCAGGTTGGCCTGTTCTGAAGACAAATTTAGGTACATTGAATGCCTGTTGACGGTATTTAAAAGCTCCGAAAAAGAGAGGAGGCACCAGCAAAGCCAAGGGGGGTGGCAGGCAAGGGGGGCTGGGGCCGTGGGTTGGGAATGAGGGGTACCAGCACCCCTCTGCCTCTGTTAGCCCTGGAGCTGCCTGGGACAAGGCACTTCCAGGCAAGCTTCCAAGCTACAGCTTAGGGTCTACATTGCTCGTTTTCCTGGGACTCTGCAAGGTGCTGCCGCCTACGGGCCACCGCTGTCAGGACTATTGCTGAGGACTCTGCCAGAGACATTGGAGACCAAAACTAGAAGGATTTTTATTTTTTTCTGCATCCAGAACAAGCAGAAGCCACCTCGGGAGCTCCCCCTAGATATCAGACCGGGACAGGAGGGAGGCGGTGGGGGAGCCCTCTCGGCTGTTGAAGGCTATTTGGGATTTCCAGTGGCCACGTCCATCTCCGTCCGCCGTCATCAGAGGGGCAAACAAGTCCAGGCCTGGCGGAGAGAGGGACGGGAGAATGAGCGACCCGAGTTTGAAGACAACTGTCTGGCAATGGCAGTGGCACGTCTGTTCAGGCAGCAGTGAGAGCATCACCTGAATTGTTGTCATCTGCCTGGCCCCTGCTAAACCCTTCATTGCACAGGTGCTAACGACCGTCTCCTTTTTAATGGGCTTGATGTTGCACCAGTCAGTCAAGCCTTTGATCTTCCCTGCTGCTGCCTGTTCGCTGCTCCTGGTCACGAAGCTCCTATTTCACAGCCCTGCAGACTGGTTTTAACTGATTTCAGTGAAGTTATAGTTCTTTTTTTGGTTCTTTTTTTTTTCCAGTTTTCTCCTTTTTTATTCCGTTTTAAAACAGAATAATGCAGCCCTGGGCCCCTAGTGTGTTAGTAAAGCTTTTAGTTTCTTCTTAACTGGAGACAAATACGTGTTGCTTGATATGGGATGACGCACCTCGCTGTCTGCACCCCCTTTTCCAATAGCCTTGATCCACCCATGTCACTCCCTCCGTGGAGCCAAGTGCATAATGGAAACCCCTGCTCCCAGCACGAGAAGTATCCGCCATTTCTGCTAGCTTTTGCTGGGGCTGTCCATGCTCAGCATTTCTGCAGACCAGAGCTTTCTCTGTCCCATTTCCTCCCGTCTCTAGCCCTGTTGGTGCTACACCTCAGCTTCAGCGAAGGCCCATCGGCTGAAAGCCAAAACACAGGCAGCCTGGTGATGCTCTACGTCCTGATAACCTCCCTTCTTGGATGCAATGGCCCCACCCTGGATCCCAAACAACGTCCCCCCACAACCCCAATCAATGGTGGATAAGTGATGGCCGCGGTTAGGGCTGTTTCACGGAAAGCCGCAGTGAGTGCATACGGATGCCCTTGGTAATAGCAAAGCCCTAGACAAGCCTGTCAATTAAGGCTGTCTCCAAAGAGGACATTTGAGCTGAGTCAAACCCATATCAAGCGGATAAATGAGCTTTTTTGGTCTTCTGCCATCTTCAAATGCATTCAAACAGCACCCTCCTGTCTGAACATTTCCTCCCCACCCTGGCTGCCGGGACAATTCGAAAACAGCTAACTGCCAGGATGCAATGAGACAAATGCAGCCTGGAGCCAGGGGAGGGTGAGGGGCTGGTGTCTGGAGGCAGCTGTTGGCAAAGGAGCACAACAGCAAATTTACACCGGGGAAATGCTCACGAGCCAGTTCCAGCTATAGCAGAGCCCCGCAGTTCCCAGTATCAGAGAGACCCAGTGTGGGAACGGGGGTGCAGCATGGACCCCAGGCTTGGCCACAGAGGCTGTGCGATCCTCTTGCTGCCTTGGCTCTGCACTGATGTTGGCACCTGCCTGCCATGCTCCAGTCACTGGTGAACCCTGTCTCGTTTGAGGATGGCGGCCTGCCCTCCTGTGTTTCACTCCTGGTTGTACCCTTTTCCCTCCGAGGAGCACGGCCCCATTGGAGCTGAGTCTGCTGGGGCCACGCAGGAGGCTGTGACCCAGCTCAGGGTCCAAGGAGCTCAGCCTGGCTAGCATCCATGCCTAGGAGATGCTGGAAAGGCCCCCTCCTTAGCATCGGTGTTTTTTTGGGGCAGAGACAGCTCTCCACGTGGCCTTTTGGAGAGAGCAACCCATGGGTGCCAGTGTCTGCTCCTAGCCCTATGATGTGGGACGCTTAGACAGATGGGCACAAGGGCTTCCAGACCTTCCCAGCTGCGCCTCGGAGCCAGCAGGAGAAATGAAAGCATGATGCACGTCTTCACATTTGTAAAAGGGTTCAGGGCCAGATGGTGCTTGCTGTAAAGTGCAGCCGGCCCCAGCCCCTTCTGCAGGCAGCGAGAGTGTAGGGGAGAGGCCAAGCAGAGCAGACAGGTGCTGGGAGCTGCTGCGCCCAAAATCAGCCGGTTGAATTGACTGCCAAAGCTGCCAAATGGGAGCAGACAGGCATCCTCCCCTGCCTGGGATGACGGCTCGCACGGGAACACATGCATGTGGCGATGGTGACAGCGCTGGTGGAGACACTGGTCTAGTTTGCCGTGACAGTCTGAAAAGCCCCAAAAGGCTGCAGAGGGCAGGATGTGAAGCCCTGGGTTCCACTCCCTCTCTGTGCCTCAGTTTTCCCATCTGTAAATTGGGTGTCCACACTGCTTTCTAAAGCTCGGTATTTACCAGTGTCTCCTAGAGGCTCTTTTGGGCAGGGACCCGTGGCCAGGCCTGGCCCTCCTCAAGCCAGCAAAAGCACTGTCATTTTGGTGCAGCCAGAATGTCACCCCTGGATGTCTTGCGTGAGTGTGAAGCCCCAGGAACGTGGGAGGGCTCTGCTTACCTGTGACGGCCACCTTTGCCCTAGCCTCTTGCCATGGCCTCCAGCTGGGTACCTCCACGCCAGCCTGCAGGGGAGATGATGGAGGCATCAAGCACAGGGAGCAGGCAGGCCGGGCAGCAGTAGAAGCAGGCACCCCAGATTTGGGGGGAGAGACATGGGGCTGCACGAGAGCTCAGGCCAGGAGCAGCTGCAGCCCTCACCTCTTTGGCGGCTGGCTCCCCAGACCCAGGGCCCTGCCGGGACCCTCCCTGGGCCAGCTGGGCTCTGCCCACCTTCTCCGGGCCTGGCACGTGTCCGGGACGGTGGGAACAGGAGGCTGCCGCATGCAGGTGAAGGAGCTGGGTCATGGAAGCCCAGGGCTGGGCAGCTCTGGCCGAGTGCCTGGGGGAGAGGAAGCAATGGTTACCTGTCCTGTCTCGGGCAGGGGGAGCACAGGGCACAGAGGTGAGGCCACAGGCTGAGAGGTACAAACCCCCCTTCAAACACTGCCTGCAGCTCGGTCACGGCCAGGGAGAGCCCCTCAGAAGTGGCACGAGCCCCCCGTGTGTGATATGGCCCCGGGCCGCACACCTCCCCTCTCACCCTCCCAGCAGGGGGAGGCTTCGTGGAGCCAGGCCTGGGCTGGCTTATACGTCTGGACAGCTCCTGGCGCGAGGAGAGCCACCTGCGTTGAAGGGCTGGAACGTGGGGCCACCACATCACAACCAGCCCCCCAGTCTTGCAGCTGGCTCTAGGATTCCCCAGGTGGCACCCCGGAGCGATGGGGTGGCTTGGCCAGGTGCCCTGCACTCACGTGGGTGCCCAGCTCCTGGCCCACCCCCTGCCAAACGGGGTCTTCTTGCCTCGGCTGTAGACCTGTGAACAGAAGAGTGGTGGGGGCAGAGGCATGGGGTGCTCGAGGGTGGCAGGGCATGCTGGGCTGTGCCCTTGCCCATCGGCGGGGGCTGAGAGGCAGTGGAGCAAGCACCCAGGTCTCCCAGGTCCACCTTGAGCCTGGGTGCTGGCTGGGTCCAGCCAGGTCTGACTGTAGCTAGGGCTACTTCCCCGCTTGTCCCCTTGGCTCCAGGCTTGGGGGGATGCCTGGACTTGATGAGGGGAGGCAGGGAGCCCCTGTCCGGTGCCCTGTGCTGCAGGCTTGGGTGGGACAGCCTCTGGATGTGCTGGTCCCGTGCCTCTGGGTCTGAACCGCAGTGATCTGAGCCCCGGGCAGGGCCACCATCCCAGTACCTTGAGCCTGTGGGTGCGCTTGGCCCATGCGTGCAATCTGGCGCGGGAGCTCGCCAGGGCCAGGAGGGGAAGCAGGTAGAAGGCGGCAGGGACGGTCACCACGATGCTGGGAGCCGGAGAGTGAGGGGAAAACACACCATGGTCCACAGCCAGCCACGGACATGGGGGGGACCCCTGCCCTCCACTGTGGGGGTGACACTCCCTGCGTGCGCGTTACACTGCAGGCATATGCATTACACTGCAGGTGCATGTTACACTGCAGGTGCATGTTACACTGCATGTGTGTGCATTACACTGCAGATGTATGCATTATACTGCATGTGTGTGTTACACTGCATGTGCATTACATGGCGTGTGTGTTACATTGCATGGACACACACGTTACACTGCACGTGAGGGCATGTGTTACACTATGTGTGTGTTACATTGCATGTGTTACACTGCATGTGTGTGTTACACTACATGTGTTATACTGCTGGCATGTGACACCACATGTGCATGTGTGTTATATTAGGTGTGTGCATTACACTGTGTGTATTACACTGGGTGTGCACATGTAGCACTGCATGTGCAATGGTGTGGGACACAGCATGTGTGTGTGATCAATCATGTCCACGTGTAACAATGTGCATGGACCTGTGTGTAACATGGCTCCATGCATAACAAGTGTGTAACACGTGCATGCTACAGAACATGTGCAAGCGTGCAATTCACACACGTTTAACACCCTATTTGTGCATGTCACAGGGCATACCTGTACACACGAGTGTAGGTGTGTGATTATGTAATGCAGTGTGTGCGTACACATGTAACACACAGTGTGCGTTCATTAGAAAGCACATATGTGCACACACAAGTGCACATGTGTTTACTGAGCAGAGGGCTGATCTAGATGATCATGTGAGGTCTCTTCCAGCTTTGCTTTCCTAGGAGCAATGAACATAGCAGGTAGGCATGCATGTCTGCATGTGTGACACAGCACGTGTGCAAGGACTGGCGTGTCAGAGTGCCCCTGGGCACCCCTCTGGCAGGGGAGCTGGGCTGAGGGTCCCCATCTCTCCAAGGATACGCGCAAGCTTTCTCGGTGCTGAGGGCCTGGCCAGAGCTGAGCACCAGGTAGGCGATGCAGGAGGCCAGCACCAGCGCGTTGTAGCCACACAGAAAGGCCACGAAGAGGGAGAAGCAGCGGGCGTTACCACGGCCCACGCAGTTGTTCAGCCAGTAGCAGTGGTGGTCAAAGCCCTGCGGGCAGGGAGAGCCTGGGGCTGGTCGCTGCTGGCAGAAGGGCAGCTGGGGGCTCGTGGGGGGCCAGCTGGCTGGCAGGGATGGCCGGACTAGCCTGCCAGGGACGCGTGCTCTGGGGCCGGGAGTTGTGGGCAGGCACACGCCTGCATGTGCAGAGCAGGGGGTGTGCAGGGATGGGGATGTGTGTTTGGAACTGTGTGACCAGTGCGTGGGCACAGGGATGTGCGAGCTGGGGTGTCTCTGGGCATGCAGGGCACATGTATGGGTTTGTAGCTGCATGTGCGGAGGCATGCAGGGGGTGCAGCTGCATGTGCAGGGGTGTGCAGGGACAGACGTGTAACTGCATGTGCAGGGGCGTGCAGGGCATGTGGGGGTACAGCTGCATGTGCAGGGGCGTGAAGGGACAGGCATGTGCAGGGGTAAGCAGAGTACACATGTAGTGGACAGGCATTTGCAGGGGCTTGCAGGGTGCATGTGTAGGGGTGCAGCTGTGTGTGCTGAGATGGCTGTGGCTGCATGGGTTTGTAGCTGTATGCAAGGGCATGCAGGGCACGTGGGGGTGCAGCTGTGTGCGCAGGGGTGTGCAGGGACAGGCATGTAGCTATATGCAGGGACATGCAGGGTACATGTGTAGGTACGCAGCTGCGTGTGCAAGGACACATATGTGGCTGCGTGGGTTTGTAGCTGCGTGTGCAGGGGTGTGCGAGGCCATGTGTGCGGCCATGTTCCCTGGCTTGTGCCTGGAGCAGCTGGTCAGCCTCACCTCCACGCAGACGTTGCAGGAGGGGCAGTGGAAGCTCTGTGGCGGGCAGTAGCAGTGGCACTTGTGGCACCAGCGTGGACCGAAGCGTCTGTCCTTGTCATGGAGCACCTGGATCACCAGCCTGGTCCGGCCCTTGGCCCCTGGCTCAGGGAGACGCAGCACAGGGTGAAACTGCCCCCACCCTCCCCACCTGAGAGGCCGTGGCGGGGGTCCCTCCAGACCTGCCCCAGTCCAGGCAGCAAGGTGGTGACCCCTCGGCCTGGCAGCCAGGGAAATGGGGAGGTCTCCAGCGAGCTCAGGCAGGAGGACCCTCATCCCTTTTGACCCATCATGTGCCCTCCAGACCTCCCCTGTTGGGCTCCCTGTTGACCCCAGCGGCATCACAGCCCTCTCGCTACCTCGGGGCAGGATCCCGGGGTCCATGAAGCTGGCCAGCAACAGGTTGGCCAGGGTGGGGAGGAAGAGGATGCCAGCCACAACGGGGAAGGCCAAGGAGACGTGGACAGCCAGCCAGCCGCACCTGCAAGGAAGGCAGCGGGGTCATCGCATGGCTGGACGTCCCAGGGTCTTGAGGAGGGGAAAGGAGGGCCCCGGGCTCAGCCCTATCCCAGGGTCCCCATCAAAACCAGCCCCCGCAGCCAGCGTGGCTTCCAGTGGCCAGTGGCACCAAATTTGGCTGGTCCCAAGTGGCTGGAGTGACAATAGGAGGAAGGGGAACAACTGCCCAAACTCCTGAGAACAGCTTTGATCGGCTCTGCCCCTGCCATGACCCTCCCGCTGGTCCCTTGCCTCAGTTGCTCCATCTGTGTAATGGCAACACCCCACCTGGCAGGGGTTCATTAGGCCCGCAGGTGCCCACGGGCAGCCGTACGCGGGCAGCTTGGGGCAGAGGGAAGCTGTGTGGGGGGCAAAAGTGCCCCAGGGCCCATCTCCCCCGGGCTTAATTGGGCGCTTGCTGCTGTGTGATGCCCAAGGCAAGGACTGCCCCCCCCGAGGGAGGGCCCACCACTCACGGGAAGGAGAAGAAGAGGGCACTGAGACACACGAGGGAGCTGACGTGGAAGGAGGCGCACAGGCTGGGCAGCACCCAGCGCAGCCCCTCGCCCCCACGGCTCATCTCGGGGCACAGCCGGGGCTCTCCCCGGACCGGCCATGCAGCCTCCGGCCCCCCCTGGAACCCGCATCCCGTTCCCGTGGCGACGCTCCCCGGAGACGGAGCATCACAATGGGCACGGTGGGACCGGCCGGCCCGGGAGGCTCAGCGCTGGGGAGAGCCCGGCAGGAGGCAGGCTACCAGGAGAGGCGATTTCAGGTCCCTTCCGACCCGGCCAGCTATGAAATTATGAAACTACAGGACACCGGGGTCCTGCCCCGCACAACAGCTCTCGGGGCTGTTTTCGCTTCCTCTCAAGGGACTGTAACCGAGCCCCCAGCATCGCAGCACAGCCAGGCGGGCAGGGCCTCAGGGGGGCCTGTCTAGTCCAGCCCCGTCCCAGTCAAAGGGTTGTCTGCTGTATTCCTAAAACACCCCAGACAACCCTTCATGACAGCAGAAGCCTGGTAACGCGGGGGCTGAGGGGCTTGCCCTCGCTCAGGGAACTGAGTCTTTCGTTGCCAGGCCCTTTTCCCAGCTGGGGGTGACGTCCCTGCCCCTTTTCCAGCACCACAGCCAGGCTCAGCCGCTCACCACTGCCCTGCTGCCCGCAGCCCCAGAGGGATCATCAGCTCTCTGGGCCCCAGCACCGTGCAGGGAGCTCACGGGTTTGCTTCCACCCCGGATCTTTCCAGGCCGCTTTCCAGGATGCACTGCCTGCCCGGGTGAGTGCTCCCAGCCTGCGTGCCCGGAGCAGATTGTGGCGCCCTGTGTTTCTAGGCTATTGATGGAAACATCAGCTGACATCAGACAGTGTCTGAAACACTAATGCAAACCTTGTACACCGCTTCTCAGCCCCGCTAGACTCCAGACCTCCTCGGAAAGAGCCAGCTCTTCGCTTTCACTCTTCATCCGGCCTCTGGAAAAGTACTAGAGCAATTTCTCCCTTGCAAAGAACAGACCCCAGCAGGGCAGGACATTGGTGACCCTCTGGATCCCTGTTTGAAATCCCAGGGTTTCTCTCCCGAGGTGTTTGCACACCCGGCTGTGCTCGTCTTGTGCGGCACCCTTCACAGATCCCGTGCCAGCAGCATCCTGGCTGAGAATCACTTGGGACAGCCTAGAGAAACCCTGATAGCTACCACCCCGCTGGATGACAGCTACATCTGTAGGTGCTCTCTGCCAGCGCTGCTTCCATGCAGCACGTGCCGTATGGATAGGACACAGTGTGACCTGTGCATCCAGACTATCAGGGGGTCTCAAGTCAAATATCCTGCTAATGTGTAGCGTCATCTTGGAATCATTGAATCACAGAATCATAGGACATGAGGGTGGAAAGGACCTCAGGGGGTCACATCCAGTCCAACCCCCTGCTCCAAGCAGGACCAGCCCCAGCTACATCATTCCAGCCAAGGCTTTGTCTACCCGGGTCTTCAAAATCTCCAACGATGGAGACTGCACCACCTCTCTGGGTAACCTCTTCCAGTGCTTTACTACCCTCCTAGGGAGAATTTTTTTCCTAATATCCAACCTCAACTTCCCTTGCTGCAGCTTGAGCCCATTGCTCCTTCTGTCATCTGCCCGCACTGAGACCAGTCCAGCTCCATCCTCTTTGCAGCCCCCCTGCAGGGAGGTGAAGGCTGCTATTCAATCCCCCTCCGTCTTCTCTTCTGCAGACTCAATCAGCCCAGGTCCCTCAGCCTCTCCTCACCAGTCCTGTCCCCCAGCCCCACAACCATTTTCATTGCCCTCCGCTGGACTCTCTCCAATGTGTCCACATCCTTTCTATAGTGGGGGCCCACAACTGGTCACAGGACTCCAGATGTGGCCTCCCCGGTGCTGAATAGAGGGGAGGAATCATTGCCCTCAATCCACTGGCACCGCTTCTCCCAATGCAGCCCAGGATGCCAGTCGCCTTCTTGGCACCAAGGGCACCCTGCTGGCTCCTGTTCAGCTACTTGTCCCCTGCCTCCGAGGTCCTTTTCTGCAGAGCTGCTGCCCAGCCCATCACCCCAGCCTGCACCAGTGCATGATGTGGTGCTGGGATGTTTTTAGCTTAAAAACCTCTTCTCCTTCACTCACATTTATGCCACAAAAAGGGGGAAAGTTTCATAAACCGGTTTGCCCCAACTCAATTCAGTCTGATACTACATTCAACCAAGTTTATCTTAAACCAAGTTGCACACTGAACTTCTGTTCAGTTACAGGTTTAAACCAGTTTATGATCACTTCACCCGGTTTATGTGTCACTTCTGTCCTGAGCCTTAGACTCAAGGGCTCCTCAGAAAATGCCAGCTCTGAGTTTTCACTCATCTTTTGACTGGGAAGACATACTGGAGCCATGCTTCTGCTGCTAAGAGCCCAGCAAGCTGGCAGCCAGGCAGGAGGCTTTTGACCTGGAATTCTTGGGTCAGCTCACTGAGGTGGTAAAAGCTAGGGAT